CAGTGCACACAGTAGATCGACTGCCTCCAATATAAGTTCTTGATGGCCGATGCGAGTGACTCCCAAATCTTCTAGTTCTTGGTGGGTAATTCGAAGCAGCTGGTCCCCACTGATTTTTTCCCTCTCAAAATTCTTAATGTACTGTTGAAGACAATCATCCAGGCCTATATAAAAAAATGAAGAGGAAGAAAAGGAAAAGACATTAACCCCATCAAGAAGTTGAAAAAAAATTTAAACATTCTGTGATTATGTAGGATCAAAACAAAAGATTTTGAGTAAGAATGGTAGCTCTAAAAAATGGAAATAAGGAAAATGTGCTTGCTAGTTTGATTTCATTCTTCTCCCTATTCACCCCACCCCAGATAGAATGCCAGACATACAACTATTGTTCATTAGATGACCACAATAGTTTAGCAATTCTATTTAGGAAAGAATTGAGCAAAGTCAGGTTGCAATACCATTGTTACTATAAAGTAAAGGCAAATTATAAAGAATAAGGAAGGGACTTGATCAAGAGCTGGACACTATCTTTATCACTAAGTTCAATGCTTGGCTTAACAAATGCTTGTTGGCTTGACTTATTCTATTATCAAGGATAACATACATAAAGATTCACTTAAAAGACATTATTGAAGATGTACATGATTAGAAAAAGCCATGGACAAGTCATATAGCAAGACTGGGATATAGTACATTTGCTATCTGAGTGGTATATTGGCCTTCCAGGTATTAAAGAAAAAAGATAGAAACTTCTAGTATGTTGAATAGATCCTATCTGGAGGATTTGCAGAAAAAAACATGGACAAAAATCACCCAGGATGAGAAGGGGTAGAGAATTGAAGGAATATAGAAACTAATGAAATCTTATGTTCATCAGAATATCATTATTAGCTCCTTAATTTTATGAAAGTTTCTTTCCTCCCATATTTGAAAATTGTGAAAACAATCGTGTTCTTTGGTAACTTTCTTGGAATTCCTTCATATATACTTAGACATGTAGATGAACCTTCTAGTATATATTCTAAATTCATAATTCTTGTAATTAAAAACTTAAACATTTTTAGCAAAATTTTGTTTGCTGATCTATTATTTCTATATTCAGAGAAAATGAGGCATTGAGGAAATAATCTACCAAATCAGTGGATCTATTGATTAATGCAATGAGTTAGCCAAGCACCAACCTATATGCTAGGGATTCAAAGACAAAAATAAAAACACAATAGATCATACCACATGTGAGTCAGAGGCTTTCTGACTTCCAGACTAGTATAGCAAATATACAATGATCTGTAAAACCCTGACTAATTGAATGCCATTTCACTTAAATCAAAATTATATCATTTTCAATTAATGAGGAATTTCCCTTCCTACAATCTTTAGCCAAGCTCAAAACACAAATATGTAAATATTAATATTGCCATGATTATCTCTGAATTTCAACCTTCCTTTATTTCCAGTGTAAGTAAGGTAAATGAAGACTGTCCTGGCAAAAAAAAAAAGTCCCACTAGTTTATAAACTTTTGGCAAAATAATCCTGAAGATGTGGGATTATTTTATTCAAATCCCAAATTTCTCCATCCATGATAGCAACTATCTACAAATTTGACTTTTTATTCAACAATTTAGTCATTCTCCTCATCCCTTAATTTCTCTTCTCAATAACTATTATGAGAAGGAAAAAAATCTTGGGTAAGAGAATGCTATGCAATTATTTTTAAAGGAAAAATGTCAGAAGAGGTCATATCACCAGTTCAATTTTAAAATTCCTGCACATTGTTTTTAAAGGAGTTAGACAGAAAATGCACATTTGCGTTAAATGCTACAATGATTCTTTGTCACAAGAAAAACACAAGATATTGACTTAAAAGCTTTGAGAAACTAATACTTTCAGTGTCCATGTAATTCAATATTTTTGACAAATACTACTCAGTAAAATATGTTCCAATACAGATGCGAGGTAAAAACAGTAAATATTCAGTACGTTCCTGAAATTTGGACTAACCATGATTCTTTTAAATACCCCAAGAAAAGAAGCGGAGTGAACTCTTTGTGAAAGCATATAACTTTAGAGAGGTTTAGAGACCCAGGTTAAAGTCTCCCCGTACCTCAAAAAAAATCCACAGAACTTACAGAAGTCAAGAAATTTCATTCAAGTTCTTAAGGTTAGAAAGCCTTCTATTTAAGCAGCAAATCATGAATTTAATTTAAAAAAGACACCAACGTAATAAAGGCTTTTACTTATTAAAGTAAGCATAGAATAGAATTTTAGAAGAGAAAATAATGAGGTTAGAGAAGGAGAAAATTAATAATGATTGAACATGCTGTGGAAAGTGGAACAGCTGTATCTACACTGACCTGCAGCTGTAGTAAAATCAACTAAAAGTGGCTTTTTTTTATTGCCTTAAAGATATCTTTAACCATTCTTAAAAACCCTAATTATCAAATTACATTCATCAAAACAAACAGGTATTTAGTGTTTGTTGTTCTAGGGCCTGGGACAGAAAGAAAGAAAGAAAGAAAGAAAGAAAGAAAGAAAGAAAGAAAGAAAGAAAGAAAGAAAGAAAGAAAGAAAGAAAGAAAGAAAGAAAAAAATAGTCCCTACCCTCAAGGAGCGTATTGGCCTAGAAACTTGGCCAATAAAGTCTTCCTTTTTGTTGTTCAGTCATTTCAGTTGTTTCTGACATTTTGGGACCCCATTTGGGGTTTTCTTAGCAAAGATAGTGGAGTGGTTTGCCATTTCCTTCTCCAACTCATTACACAGATGAGAAAACTGAGGCAAAGAGGGTTAAGTGAGTTGCCCAGGATCCCATAGGTAGTAAGTAAGTAAGTGTCTGAGGCCAGATTTGAACTCAGATCTTCTTGACTCTAGGCTTGGCAGTCTATCCGCTGTGCCACCTAGCTGTCCTTTACTTAAAAAACCCTCCTTACTCTACAGATTAAACCTGGAAAGAAGTGGTAAAGAAGCAATATTCTGTTCAGAAATATCAGGGTAGGTCAAAAGAAAAAGGGTAAAAGGATATATTAGAAAAGAAATCAATAGATACATCACCACCCATCTACTCTGTATATATCATATGCCACATGTTTTCTCCCCATTAGAATGTGAACTTCTTGAGGGTGGGAATTTTTAAAAATATCTTTCTTTTTATTCACAGTTCTTATCACAGTACCTAGTACATATTAAGTGCTTAGTAAATGCTTGTTTATTGATTAATAGAAAGGATCCTACATTTAGAATTAGATGACCAAGGTTAGAAATCTGGGCTTTAGTTTTCTCATCTATCTGTGAAGAAGTACACAGGACTAAATGCTCAGTCAACCAATAAGCATTCATTAAGTACTACTGTGTGCCAGGCATTGGAGGGATAAAGACAAAAATGAAACAAAAATGTCTTCAGGGAACTTATTCACTTCACTTAATGTCTAAAATCTTTTCCGCTCTAACTCCTATGATATTATATGAAAATTTCAGACTAAACATCCATAATGTTCAAATATTCAAAGACGCTTTGATAACATATAACATGGTAGATCTCTATCTGCCTGTCTTTTGTCTCCCAAAACTGATATTTCCCATAAAGAAAGGAGGGTTTTTTTATATTTTTCTTCATTTTCCTCATGGTCGCTCATGCCTTTTCACTAACTATCTCCCATGATTTAAATGCTCCCCCTCCTCACCTTCATCAATCTTCTCACCTTCCTGGCTTCCTTAGCTAAGCTCTTACCTTCTGAAAGATGTCTTTCCCTGGCCCCGCCTGTCCCAACTGAAGGAGATAACTTTCCATTTGTATTTTATTGATCTTGTATATAGATAGATAAAGATGTAGGTATAGATATTTACATATTGTCTCTCCTATTAGATGTGAGCTTCCTGAAGACAGAGATCATGTTTTCATCTTTTTTGTATCCCAAATGCTTGGCACATAGTAAGCACTAAATTAATTTTTATTGACTGAGGAGAAAAACCTTAACCTAGCATTAAAGGCACTCTGCATTTCCAGACTTTTTTCTCCATTTCCTCCCTAGATAGCCCATTTCATTAAAATAAATTTATCTCCTGTCCCTAGACATTGTTTTCTTAATGTTCATGATGCACCAACTATCCAATGACCTTCTTCTTCCTCTCTGTTCCCATTCACATCCTCTGAATCCTACAAGCTGAAGCTCAAATTTCACCTCCTTCATTGAGCATTTTCCCCACCACTCTGCCTTGGCATAATTTCTGTCTTCTAAACTCCTAATACAATAATTGTCTACCAACTCTTTAAAATTTAATTGTGTTGAGGCAGCTTGTGGCACAGTAGATAGAGCACTGGCCCTGGAGTCAGGAGGACCTGAATTTAAACCCAACCTCAGGCATTTACTAGCTATGTGACACTGGGCAAGTCACTTAACCCTAATTGCCTCCAAATAAAATTGATCATGTCCATCTAAGCATATTATACATTGATAGAAACTATTAATTAGCAAAAAAAATAATTAACTGAATCATTTCAGATAAGCTCTCTTATTCTGTGTATATGCAAATATTTCTTTTATCTTGAACTGATAATTAAATCTTTTATCAAATCTTTTTTTAATGTTCATATCATATTTCTCTAAATGGATTATATTCTCTTCCTACATAATACCTGATGACAGTAATTGATTGTTTTAAGGTTCACAAAGTATTTTATACAGATTATCAATTATTCTATTTGATCTTTAAACTTTGTGAGATTCACCACAACTATAGCTAATATTCCCATTTTACAGATGAAGAAACTTAGGCTCACAGATGTTGACACTAAACATAATAAATGTCAGAGACAGGGTTTGAAACCAGGTTGCTTCTATATCCAAGCCTAGCAGAGTTTCAAGGCTACTAAAATAGTGCCTTGCTGTCAACTGATAATTGTTGATTTCTTTCTGATCTTACTTACAAGAACAAAAAGGTAGTGTGACAAAGTGGATAAAGATGTGGCTAGGAAATCTGGGTCTGACTTCCAAAGATAGATAGATAGATAGATAGATAGATAGATAGACAGACAGATAGATAGATAGACGGATGAATGGATATAATGTATGTATGTGTCTGTGTGTGTGTGTGTGCGTGTGTGTGTGCGTGTGTAACACTGAGTGATCACTTAATTGCTCAGTGTTCTACATACTCTCTGAGACTACA